ATAACTGTTTACCTGTCCCGCTGTATTCATTGTCTGATATCACAGTTCACAGACTATCAGTGATTATTTTCCAGATTTACGATACAGTGTTGACCAGTATTTAATCCTCTGCAATATACTCTGTACTTTTCCTTTGATTTATAATAGCTGCTGCCCTGCTCAGTAGCACACACTGCTGTGAGCTCCTTTACGCTGCGGTGTAGCAGTGCTGATCAGTAGCTCTTGGAGGTGATTTATGAGCAATGGGATTTCCGGTCAGAACAGCTTAATTGAGCCTGTATATTCTCCAGAGCAGTCCTTGAGAAAGGGATAAGGTAATGAGGGGGAAAATGACGAGTGGAAGACACTTTGGCTGTTAATCAGCCTCCTTACAGCTGACAAGAGGAAACGCTTAAAAAAAAAAACATTAAGTACACCTGCACAAATGCTATGGAGCTTCAAGTTCACTTGACTGACCTTATGACAAGGCAGTGGCCTGGCCTCTCCATTGCACCCTCATTTTTCTCCCTCTCTTCACAGAAATGCTGGATGGATCCCAGAAGAGCTGTGTGGAGCTGCACAGAGAAGACGGTACATACAACTAACTGCAATGCTGACAGTGGATGTCTACAGAGATAAATGATTGTGTGTTCGATGTTGTGCCTCAGTGCTGGCGCCAGAGCAGTGAGCTGATAGCTGAGATAGGGCGCCAAAGGAGTGCAAAAGTAGACTCACTGGACTCAATGCCTGCTGAAGTCAGCATTATTGACTGACACCTGTCACTGCAGGAGTCCGTCCCTTATCCTGAATAATCAACAAAACTGACTGTCAACAGTTTTTAAGGGGACTATTTCTTCAGTAGAAAGTAGTACCGAAGACACCTGAGAAAGAGATGTTTTGTTGCAATTTTAAACATATATTTCAGTGCTTTGTGCAACACAAACAAGAGTTTATTCACCTCTGTTGTACTGGGGTGGCAGAAGACATCTTAGAGACACATATCTCAAAATTGGGACAACTCATGCACCAGAGGTTAGAAAAAAATGCATGTTCTTTTTTCGTGGTTTGGGTGAACCAGCCTTTTAATTTTGAGGTTTTTTTCCCTCCACAAAGAGTTTAAAGTTGAGAGCGGTATGGTAATGGCACTTTAAAATGAAGTCTTTAAAAAAAATGATCATGATGTGTAGTAAAAGCCAAAAAAAATGAAGTGAAGTAGGGATGAGATGAAAGGAGATGATGTCCAGAGACTTTGTGTCCATATGTGTCCATATGTGTGTGTGTGTGTGTGTGTGTGTGTGTGTGTGTGTGTGTGTGTCTTCCCACCATGCAGGATATCGCTCCCAATTTTCTGCAGGGTATGACGGTGATGACATTCACTGTGATTTTGTCTTTTATTCCCCTGGACTCATTTGTAATATGTTCCATCGGTATTTCCACACATTGGACTTGGCAGAATCAGGCCAGAGTAAGACCCCAAATGTACTCTAAGGCTGTAAATTGGCTCCCATTTGTCTAACTACGTCCCTGCAGGCTCTTCATGAAAGAGCACAAAGTCGGTTTAGTAAAACCCACAGCTCTGAGCACAATGTGGCTTAAAAAGGAGAGATTGACCCTGTTAACAGTTATAAAAGTCTATTCAATACGCTTTTAACAAATAAATAAATGAAGTGACACAAATGGGAAAACTGGGCCACAGGATTGTGACGCAAGAATGTCAATGTTTTGCTGTGACTGTGCTGTCTTCCCATTTGAAAACAAAATTATTCATACAAGTATCGTCTGGGAAAACCAGTTTGTGCCACTGTAAGATTTTCAGTGAGCTAAAAGCATTTGCACGTGATCGTCATCTGTCCTTTTTCATGAAAATTGCAGCACGGGAATACCCTTGTTTTGCCATCATGGTGAACAAATATGCAAATAACGGAGACAGATCTCAAGTCACCCAGTTAGTCCGCCACATCTCAATTCACTTCCTAAAATGTCAGTCATCTAAAATTAGATGAGTGAGCAGAAGAACATGTTGGTCTTGGATATTTATGGAGACGTGCTGCGGGGCAACGAGACCTCTCCCAGTTAGAGTACGTTTTTTTTAGAGGAAAGAGATGAATTGCATGCGTTCTATTCCAGATGTAGAGCTTAGCAGAAATGATCCTGTGCCTGCCTTGACGTATAGCTCCAGACATCTTCCACATTGCAACAATAACCTCAGTTATCAACTTGGATTCATAACATTACAACAGAAGGGAATTACAGTCTCTTCTAAATCCTGCATAATACAGAGTCTAATCCTTATATTCAATGTATGAAAAATGAAATCCTGTTTGCTTGGTTTTACATCATGCCTCTATTATTCCATGTGTGAATAACAGTCTTTTCTGGTCGCCTAATATCTGATAAGCAGGGTAATTCTCCCACTCTCAGGCTTTGCAGTAATTTTCTAATACAAGGGCTGTAATCACCCTGTCAGACCTGCCAAACAAAGCTGTTGTGGGAAATGCAAGGCCTGCAGGCAACCCTGCCGGATAATTGAGGGCGGTTAGCGGTGGCGGCGATGTTTTTTGATTGAAGATTTAATGTTACTTTGCATCCTAGAGGAGGATGCTGCTTATCGACCGTCTGTAAAGACTGTAAGGCCGGGGCAGGATCTGAGGCTATTGATCTGTAATGAAAGCAGAGTGGCAACGGCAGCATTCAGATGGTTCTGTGGGATAGGCCAGCAAGGTCACCTGGTTCAAGCAAGGTCACCTGGGTCAGGCCAGGTCAGGCTACGTCGTGACGTTGTGTATATTTGATGTGCAAAAACAGATTCATTGATTTTTTTCAACGGGGTATTAGGATTCAGAACGTGCTAAGTGCGAGGCGAAACGCCATCCAAAGCAGATCCGGTTTTCAAAGACGGGGAAAGGGGCATTGCATTTCAAACTGAGAGATTTCACGCTGTGTCCCTTTTGAATGGAGGCTGAGAGGAAGAGATATGGGCTCCGGGTGCAGAGTGGAGGAGAGGCCACTATATCCCTGACTAATTATGTCACCTTCCAGGTTCCGCTGTTCTATTCTCTGCTGGAATATTAAGAATCTAATATCTCTTTTAGTCCATTCACATCCTAACCCATATCGCCTCTTAGTTAAATAGCGGCTAAATAGAGACTTTAAAAAGCCCTGATTTGTAACTTATGGGTTGCTGTCTTTTTTTGACAGCTAAGGGCTTTAATGTCTCTCAATCTGGTTGCTGTCATATGCATTTCTGCACATGGAGCAAAATGTATCACAGGGCCAGAACAAAGCTTTTTCTTTTGAACTTTTGTTGGAGGACAATCTCTGTCCCAAGAGAGAAGCAGCTCTTCATCTATCATCACACAGGCTGTTTTTGGGGGTTGCAGCAATACGGTCCCCAAGCCTCGCTCCTTATGTGGCCACACTGCAGAAATCTGTTGGCTAAAAATAGTGCTCTCTAGAAATTGGGCTTGTGATGCACAGTTATGGTTCTCTTCCTGTTTCTTTGGGATCCTCCCAAGAGGATGAGGCACACATTGAAATGTCAACAAGGAGGGATATATTTCACTCCTTCAATGAAGCCAGTTTTGTGTGGGGTTGTTTGGCTGGTGGTGGTGATGGTGGGTGCAACACGAAGCAAGATGCTTTTGTTTTCAGCACAGAGTCTGGAAAATACAAATAATCTCAATCCAAATGATTGTGCTGTCATGCAAAATCTTATCACCTCTGACAGAAAACCCTGGCAGTTTTCAACCTTGTTCTCATAATTGTGGCCATTTTGAATAATACTTTATGCTAACTTTACACCCATCACCTCCGTTATAGAGGTTTGAAAGATGCAACTTTAAAAATAACAACAAATACCTGGCAAATAAGTTACAATTTTACAGAATGATGACCAGGGTGACAGTGAGCCAGTATTCACAATATCATAAATACAATTTATTCATCACTGAGTTTATTATTTATGCCTGTACTTTTCCTACTGTAACTGAAGATATTACTGTCAAAATATCTTCAGTGCAAAAGGCCATAAATCCAAAGAGCTACTTTATATGATTTTTGGCGAGCAACTGTCAGCAAGCTAGCTGGCGAATTAAGCTAACGTTTGCACCACGAGTCAGTTGAATCTCCGCTGGACTTTTTATGGTTTCCAGCTAACACCTTTTTCTCATGTGGCACATTTTGTGTTAAATGATTCAAAGCTCCTTGGCGCCTAACGTTGAGTTAAGTTCGGTCTGAGAAGAAAAACACAATTGAATCCTTACTTTCTTGATCTTCTCTTCTCTCTTGAGTGCTGCTCTTGCACATGTAGGTTCAAGAAATCTATACAGCTTGTCTGGCCTTTTTGTTGTGGTTGCTAAATCTGTGATTGGATTATCGCTGTCAGGGGGAGAGAGGTTTGTTGATTGGCCAATTATGAGAATAAGACACGCAGGTTGACGAAAACCTGTATTTTCCATGTTCAATTGTAGCCTACTGCAGATTACAATGTCTACTAAGATTGCAGGTTTTACGAAGAATAAATACAAGTTGAACCCATTTATTAGCTTTTTTGCACACTTACAATCAAGTCAAATAACCATTATATACTCTACCTACACAACATCATCTATCCAACACATAATGACAACATTGGACAAAACGTTTTACAATGGCAAACAGATCCAGGCGGTGCTTTCCTTTAAGTTAGCCCCAGTCTCAACACACCATTTTTACCCATCACACAAAACAGTGAATTTAAAGTTTGTTTGATATTGCATAATTATGCTAAGGGTGAAATGACATGCAGTGCCGATATCGAAGCCTACTATGAGTATATGTGTTATCAGTGGAGTATAGTGATATTCCATTGCTAACTCACAGCACCATATGGGTACGTCCATTTTTAAAAATCAGCTACTTTGGGCAATTGCACATCCAGTATGTGATAGGTTGATGAATTGAAACGATGTTGCCCCTGAGGTTGCTTTGTTGCTTGAATAGTGATATAGTAGCCGCTCTCTGAAGTGAGAACAGGGTTAGTGATGTAAGCCCCAACAAGTAACCTGATGTGTAACCACATGTGCATATCATACACAACACTGTGCATACTTAACAAATCAATGACTCCCACTGCATTGTACTGTGTGTGCTCAGCTAGTCATGCTGGCGGGAAAGTGTCCATAGTATTTTTTTCTTTTTTTTCTAATACAGTATGTGCCTTAGAGGGTGCAGTCTATTGCCTGTGCAGTTAATACTCTTCATCGATGGTGACATGATGACTACCATCTCTTTCTTTTTAACACTCATTTCAGAGACGGTACTTTCTCAGGAGCTCTGATTGCCAATTGTACTTCCTCTCCGGAAAGCGATCGGGAATCCTGATGCGCCGGAAGTCCTGGATGCATTTCTCCAGCTCCTGCGCTGGAGTCATCTTCTCCTTGTTGCCTTTCCTTTTTGCAGCCTCTCGATCTCGGACCCCGAAGGTTCTCACGCGGAGCATGTCAGTCTTGCGGCGCATCTCTGCCTGATGCAGCATGTGAGCTGATCCTTTGGGCATGGGACGGTCCAGCGTCTGGATGTTGGCGCGCCGGCTCACGGGGCCACAGATCACGGTTCCTTGAGGGGAGCTGGCCTCCGACTGGGTCTCAGAACAGGAAGTGGACAGCTCGTTGAAGGAGGTGCCGCTCTCCCCTTCGCGCTCGCTTTTGTGGCTCTTGCAGCAGCAGTCACAGTGAGAGGACAACCACCTTGAGGGCCCACCTGGAAAACAAAACACGGAAACACATTTGTCTCTTGTTTTGACCACATGCAGGACATTTATTCTTGCAGCAAGACGCTCTTTCATGCAGTAACGCACTGTAAACTAATGTCCTAGTTTTCTGTATGGTGACAGATTCAAACTGTAATCAAAAGAAACAGTTGCACTGATCAAGCAAATGCTGACAAATGCCTACACAGCAGTTTCAATGTCATACAAATATATTTAAACGAACATCAGATGAGTGTGTGTGTGTGTGTGTGTGTGGGGGGGGGGGGGGGTTGCCATTTAATTGCTAAATTTCAAGGAGCTTGTGGGCTGTGCATATTGCTTCCTCTGATAAAGAGAGGCCCCAGAGCTCAGTGCGGTTCAGTACGGCTCCCTAAAAGACCTTTCCCATTTCCCGAGGCAAAGCTTGTCTCAGAGCCAAAGCTATTTGCTTTGCCGTCGCAGTTTCTTATTAGAACTGTCTTGTATTAAGGAGGTGGTGTATTATTTTTGTGTTTTCAGATCACTCTGTCAAATAACTCGACAAGGTGCGTTCTATCTTTAGGGAGGGAGCAAAGTAGAAAAGGCATGTTAACAAAGTATAATTCATCTTGGGTGGTAACAGAACTGGGTCGGTGAATAGATGTACCCGCAGGTGTCCTGACCTCCTGTCATGAAGTTTACACAGACACTCCACCAGATAGTAACAGAAGATTTTAAGAGTCTTCATTCTGCCTCTTGTACCTTGAATCGTCTCACATTCTCCTACATTGCTAATTATGAACCAGAAATACTCTGCTGTAATGCCCGCTGGCTTGTGAAGTGTTCATGTAAAGACAGGAAACACTGTAGCGGTCTTTCATTTTCCAGAAATATCCCTGAACTATGGTTTCATTTAGATGTATTAACAGGTAGATGCGGCGTTGAAAGCTGCTGTGCTCTATGTATTCTAAACAACAGAATATGAGAGATAAACTGGTGCACACAGGCCCTTAATACCTCTTAATGGCTCTTTCCAATGGGATGACACAGACTCAATGGCAATGATATCTCAGAGCGAGTAATAATTTTGTCCATTACCTCCTTCCAGTGCTTGCACCAATTTATACTGAACAGAGTTGAAGGGGGATTTAACCTCTCTGCGCCCACTGTAATAATGACCTTATCTCTTGTGCGATGATTGCATTGAGCTGATAGTGAGAGAGTCACTAACAGCTTTTTAATGGCTAATCCATGAGTAAAGGGGCCAATCAGTGCACCAGTTCCCCCCGCAGAAAATGAATCTAGCTGAATCCAGCCGACGAGCAGCACTAGGCAAATGGATGCAGGCGCTTTAGCTCGGAGGATCAGGCTGAGCATTGTTTCTAAATGGATGGATGCTGTATTCCAGAGGGGCAACCCGTTTAGGAAACTAGCCAACACCCAATAATAGCATCATAAAACTTTTAGGCCATGCAGGAGAATGAATTGTATTAAAGCCACTGATGAGGCTGAGAAGGACCTGGGCTTGCATTTTGTTTCATACAATAATTTGTCTCAATGAAGCGTGGACATAGACGAGCATATAATTCAAAAACAAATCTGCATTGTCAAAAGGCGACCGCTAACTGTGTGTTTTGGATAAAAGTGGTGTAGTGTCAAGCTTTGATGTCCCCTTCAGAGCCAAGACAGGAAACGACTAAGAGCCTTGTCAGGAAACGCAGTCATTCTCGGGTACTTTTAAACAAGTGGGTGTGTGCAATACCCTTTGGTATCTTTTCAGGGAAGCCATTGATTGCATTGTGTTTTTCTCAGATCCATACAGCCTGTCGAAGAGATCATATTCCAACCACATTAAAAGACTGGGGCTGGTCCTCAGACCAGACTCAGGCTGCACTTCTCATAAATAACACAGAGAGAGGGAGTCAAGTTCAGCAGAGGTTTTGCAGGCGTGTCACAAGGGGTATCCTCAAACTCCTCTCCATCTCTAATGAAAGCAGGGATGTTTGTCCTCGTGCCTGTGAGAGGTCAGAGTTTTATGGATATTGAAGGGCCTGGATATTGGAGTAAAATTAGACATTTTTTATCCATTGAGAGGTTTTAAATGGCAGAAAAGTAGGACATGATGGGGGCTAAAGGCAGACGGCTCTAACAAACTCAGATTCAAATGTCAGTGGCTTTCTTGCCAGACATTAGTGACTTTGTTTTCATCTGTGCCTCTAAACAGACTCATCAAGGGTGTGTGATGATTATTTCTCTGACGGTGGAGCAGCTCTGTGCTCCAGTCATGTAATCTGAGAGGCAAAAAGAGAAATTGAGAGGAACAAGAAATATACTCGATCACTCAGCTCAATTTCATGTTGTTATAGCACATGACCAGGAGGCCATAACGCAATTTATTTCAGATTTGCACTTGAGTCACCCGAAGCTGTCTGCTTTTCAAATTTGAATCTCAGCAGTGATGTGAACTGTGCCCTCAATCTAAATCAATGAAAATAAGTTTTCAACACAAAGCGGCTCTTTGTATCCAAGCTGCTGGAGTCAGACAAGAGAACAAACACTTAACTTTTACGTTTCTGGGATAAACCTACTTGCTTTCTCCTTCCAAACACAACAAAATATTGCAAGGCAGAGGGGTGTTAATCATCTTCAAATGCTTCAGTCGCTGCTTGGTTTTAGTGCAATATAATATAATATTCTCTGGCCTACAATTTGGGCGAATTTGACATCTCGCAAAAAGTTTTTTTCCCCCCATGTCACTCCCTGGGCTCCGTATGAAACACACAAAATAGGTAGAAAAAGTATCAAAGTATCAGCCCTGATGGTTTAGTGAAAGCAATTCTCTGATCATAGACACAGTCTTATATTCTCCAGCTCCCACAAATATTTTTTACTTTGCACCCGCCTCAGGAGGAGTGTAGTTTACATGCTTGTTAGCGCACAAATTAGGCCAGCGTGTCCTTGCAGCAGTAAAAAAAAGGCTTGTCTTGCAAAGGCAGTGACCGTCCTTACAGGGTGAGGAAAATCCATTTCACCAAGATAGTCCTTTGCTGGAAAAGTATCACTTCAGCAGTTTGTGTCCAGCCTCACTGATGGCTACAGCCATCCTCTTTCCCGTTATAGTAATATCTGTAATACCTGCGTACAATTTAATTTGTCAATATTTATTACCTGCAGCCAGCCAGCAGCAGTGATGAGAGAGAGCTGGAGAGGAATAGTCCGGGTGACCCAACAAGCTTTACATGATAACTCAAGGACACTCTTACTCTCACATAGACCCATTACTGCCCTGTCCCAAATTATCTGCTTTCCGGGATGAGAGTGAAGCAGGAAAGACAAGGGGCAATGCTTGTCCTTCACCCTGTCAAGTAGATGATATTCAAAGAGTGACGTCTAAGGAAAGGGAACTCTAAGCTCAAGTGTCTGATCCTCTTTTTATTTCCCCACCACTGACTCAAAATATATAGATTCTTTGGGACAAACTTCAACTCATTATGTACAGTCGACCCCCAACGCCATAACAATCACTACCTTACGACCTCCCGCATGCCAACACACGGGATCCCCTGTCTTCAGGAAACACTCAGCCCTGCCCACAAAGTGAGCTTCACCATGCAAGTAGCCATTAAATGTCCCTGGAGGGATCATTAAGGTGTTGGATGTCAGATGGTAAGAGCTATACACTCCTACAGCTACAGAGCATAGAAGTAGCAGAGCCAGGGATAAAAAAAGAAAAAAGAAGACAATATTCAAATTATATTTAAAGAATGTAAATTTACTAGGTTCGAACTGCATCTGTCATTTTAAAGGAACATACTGGAGGTTATAAGTGTTTTATGTTTAGATTGATGGCTTAACTTTGCTTCCACTCTGCTCAATATGGGAACTGCAAATTGCTCAATGTGGGTAATCCATCAAAGTCTATGTTTCTTCTTTTTATTTGTCAAAATTGCATTATCATCACTTGGTAATGAAGTTACTAGCAGGGACTATTTTGAAAACTCTCCTTGTTGGTGCGTTCAAGGGCACTCCCAACATCTGTGAATTTTGAGTCAGCAGTCATCACAGTATATTGTTGGTAAATGCAGTGTGCAACAGTGTGCTCGTCACTCAGAAACTTGTTCATAATGACAGATTGCCTATATTATGTGTGTTCTACGTCTCTACAAGTTAATTTAAATACCATGAGATGTAAACTAACAGCTGCATATAATATCAATACAATCAATATAAAAAGTTTGTCGTCAGATTTAGAGAAAATACAGCAGTATACTGTGAAGAGTACTATTCAGAGTCAAGGACCTGAAACATGAAAAAGCACCAGCACGGTCGTTTAAGATTCAGTGTATGAGGCTTCAATGAATGATTGGTTTCAAAAAATGTACTTTCCCTTTGCATCTGCAGTTGTTCAATAAGCTCAGCTTTACTCCCAAGGTGATCCAGCTTGTCTACTCGAACTGATGAAGTCCACAAGGTGCTGCAACCATTGTGAGAAATAATGGCACAAGCATTCCTTACTTCTGACCGTCCTCCTGCCCCGGTGCTCTTCAAGACGTATACGAGTTATTCATGGACGCACCATCCATCTCTTGTCGGCGCTGCCAATCCATCCACACGACAACAGGCTCTCTGGGAGCTCAGGGACGGCCCAATCTTTTCCTCCATTACACCCGAGCAATTGATTACTTTCCCCCCTACTTTCTCCCGGCCGCCTTGTGGCTATTGTTCAGGAGCAATTATGGCCACACATCATCTCGTTCACGGCCCAAATGAAGACTACACAGTTATATTAACAAAGCACACCTGGCATTCTCCATCTTTACTGTACATGTCTCCCATTAAGACAAGGCACATCTGCACAGCCCTTTCAGATGAGGAAAGATGGAAACTGTCTGATGGTGCCGGTCCTACTGTTCACTGATGATTTGCTCTGCCTCTGTGATTTATGATGCTATAAATTGAAATATGACTTATGTTTCAAACTGCCTTAAAAATAGGTAAGCATTTATCTTCCTAAATTGCATCTCCATCCCGCATGGCTGGAGACATTGGAAATATTTTGGGAACACAAATTGCTTTTTAATTAGCCAACGAGCTCCTCTTTCCCCAGAGATGATAAGCAATAAGGAGACAAGTCCCAAACGCCAACTGAGAGGTTAGAGTTGTAAATCCTTACAGAAATAATGTTGTCACTGCCGATTGAAAAAAACAAACTAAATGTCTCTTTCATGCTAATCAACCTGCATGTCTGCTTGACGAATAACCCGACAAGATCATCATAAGCCCGTATCTACCAGCTACTCTCTGTCCCGTACACTTTAATGTGTGCTGGTTAGATGTTTTCATTCAAAGGGTGAACAAGTCATACCCGTCATACACGTGAATCATTCATCAGGATCAAAAACTCCCGTTCATGATGAATGCTCGGACACTGCGGCCTCCTCCATCATTTGTTTTAGTCCGTGGAGAAACCAATGGCATACATCCAACTGAGCAGGAGGGGATGACAATAATTGAGAGTAGAGTGTCTGAACTTTATGAGGGAATGTGTCCCCTGACTTTTAATACAGATGATACCACGCAGTAAAATGATGAATATCTACTGTTGGCATTTTGACTGGAGTCCACACTATTAGGCAGAGGCAGTGGAGCCTGTAGAAAACAACTGACGCATTTAACAAGAAGAGCAACATTGATGACGCCAAGGAACTGACGGGCTGGAAGAAAGTCTCTCAGTGTATTTACAGGGCCGGATTGCTCTTTTTTACTCTCCAAACAAACCGAGACTCCCCGTTTCACTCCATATGGGCCTGTGATTGGATGGGAGCATGGGGTAAAAGGAGAGCAGCGAAATGTTCTGCTGAAAACAACAATAAAGCACATCTGTTTCGTGCCAACCTCAAAGGTGCATTTGTCGACATGCATTCGGACTACCTGCCCTAAGCCAGCCAGTGTCCCACATTCAGAATCAGGTTACAGTATTTGTCTTGAAAGTGGATGCGGGCCGCTGTGCTGCTGTGAAGCAAGGGCTCTCACGCATGTCTGCCCCTGATGTGTCTATCCATCATCCTGACTAGGCCTTTGTCTCCCAACGCTCACTATCTATATGTGTTTCCTTTAACCCTCACCTTGTCTTCTCTTTTAATGAAAATCCAGTCTCTCCCTCTTCTTCCGTGTCTTACCACCAAACACTTTTTTTCCCCCTCTCCGCTCCCTCAGACCCAATGAACTTTCCTGTCTGATACTTACTTTAATCTATTTTTGCACCTCGCTCCCTCTCTCTTCTTTCTGCCTCAGTTCTTTCTCCCCATGGCCAGGTCTCATGCAACTTTTACTCCCTCATCTCTCCTCCTCAGCTGCTCTCCCTTACATCTGCTCGCCTCTCGCTTCTACACTTTCCTTCAGCTTGCTTCCTTAAATTCCCTCTTTTGGTTTCTGGGCTTTTTCTTACTCTGCATCTTATTTCCTTCCTTAGTGCCGTTCCTCCCCTGTCCCTCACCTTCTTCTCATCCTCCTCCCACTGTTCCTGTATTTGTCCTAGGGCAGTGTCTGTTAATGGGGAAGGGGAGGAACACCTACACCGTATGCCGTGCTCCAGAAAGTTGAATGACACAGGAAAATCCAACCTGGTCAGATGTTTGTGCAAGTCAAGGCAGACCCCTCTGTTATAATTAGCCTGTATTAACAACATGATTGGTAAATCATTAGCAAACCATATGTCATGTCTTCCTCGGCCCATCCTCCTGCACCTCCAACCTCAGCTCTTCCAAAGGGAGCCACTCTGAGTAATGAACTAAGTGCTTTTTAACTAGCCATATGGTCCAACTCCTCTCTCTGCAAAGAGTGGAATGAACCATGTTTGCAGCTAATTAAGGCCTTTGCTGATGAACAAACTTGTCTTCAAGTGAAAAGCAAAGCTGATTCAAGAGAATGCAGCATCATTCATGTGAATTGTGTGCAGCCCATCGGTGCTATATTATTCATAACCCATCAGCAGCTGGGCTATAACCCTTACGCATGACGCATGTGTACTTGAAGTGTAGCAGCAATGTGACTCAACTTCCCTGAGGCCCGTGGGCAAGTTTGCCTCTTATCTCGGTCCCAAAACAGACGTTTAAAGTCAGCCACTGCAAGGGATGCAAGTATTTTTAGAAGGATGTGCTGAAACCCGACCATACCTCCTGGTGGTGTGAGATAACACACACCATGTTTCTGCAAACCATCTCTAATTCTAGACCATTGGAAATAAATTGCATGGGGTTTCCATATGGAAATATGTGTGGTTTTGCTTTTTTACACCATTTAATTAATGGGGAAAGGGCCCTTTCTGGTCAGCATGCAATACCATACTATGGCCTGGATATGGTTATATGGGGGAGAGAGGGGGCACTTGGTGTTGTTTGTGTTCCACTTGGTTGTTTGCATTCTAATTATTTCTGGAGGTCAAAGCCATCAGTTTATCTCTCATCACCTCTGAAAGTACGAAGTAGGAATAAATCTTCACTCACGGTAGAAGATGTACTGTGCGTAATTGGACCAGACCCTGTCATCCGCGTAATGACCGATGGAGGACGCAGACAGGGACGAATTGCAGGCCACAATGTGAAAGCCGCTCTCTGACAGCATGTCAAATGCTCTCTCCAGGTGCTTGAACTTGAGGTAAAACCTGCAGGTGTAACGGTCCGGGGGTCTGTCCGAGTCCCTGTTGTCATTCAGGGCGTCTCCAAATACCTCTTTCGCCAAGCCAATCCTACTGCTGATGAAGATCTTCGGTAACTTTTTTGCCTTGATATCGAGTTGACTTTCTCTGCCTCCCCCAGCGCACGCGCCTTTGAACGCGACCGTGATGTAGCCATACCTCCGGTCCAAGGAGTAAGAGGGAAAAAATCTCTGGTCACTGCCCTGCGACGCATCATCCAACTCACTGTAGCACACGTCGTCTGGAACTAGTTTTGAATCCTCGGACGACAAAAGTTTGGCCAAATCTGGCAGCTGGAAGTATTCCGCCTCTCTTTTCAACCTTCCTCTCTCGGGGAAGTGGTCAGGGAGGACAACTTGCTTGTCTCTAAGATAATCTAATACATACCGAAATAGAAAGCCATCCCTGTCAATAAAATAACGTCCTCTGAAGTCCCGGGACAAGTCATTTGAAGACCCCTTCTTGTTAGAGAACAGCTTGCCAAGTAAGGAATTTGGAAAGCTTGTCAATGTGGCATGGCGAGTGTAATACACTTGTCCACCCACGTTTAGCTCAATAACATCCGATGGAGGATTTTGCACCGACCCTTGCTCTTTTGCAGGTTGCGTTTTGCAGTTTTCGCTCAGTGCCATTTTTCCAGCTCTTGCACGAAATCGGAGTCTCGATCACGGAGCGCAAACGTCCCAGAAGTTTAGGGTGTGGGGTGTAGCTGCATGGTGTTGACGCCCTCAGACCCAAAGCATAGTCTTGATTCAAGCTGCAGTCCTTGTACCCAGTGTCTCATTGCAAACACTCCAAGGTGTGCTTACAGTATATCCGTTAACCCCATGCGTAAGTGTGCCTGCCCACCGTGCATCCTTTTTTGAACGATTATCAAAACCGGTGAGCACATCATGTTACACGCATCCACTGTGTTGGGTCATTACTGTGATTTCAAAGAAATGCAATTCTTACTTCACTCTGAAATTTCCCAAAAAGTAAAAAACATTGATTTTCTTCTTTTTTTAAAAAGTTTTCTGTGGAAAGGTTCGCCGTCTTGCGTCTGATTTTTGCTTTAATCAGCCCAAAATCAACCAAGCGTCGCTCCTGACAACTGGGATGCTGAAACATGCTCCGAGGTTGCGCACAGAGAGGAGGGTGAAGGTGCGACTCCCGTGCGCATCCATCTCTCCAAACTGCTGAGTGCAGAAACGTTTGGTCCGGCAGAAGCTTAAAGAAAACCTAATGTTGCTCCAAGCTGTGCACGACAGAGAGAGTGTGTGTGAGAGAGAGAGAGAGAGAGAGAGAGAGAGAGAGAGAGAGAGAGAGAGAAAATCGTCCCATGAAGTAATGCCTTACATCATCTTAAAGGAAAATGACATTTGCAGACGATCGACATAAAACGGACTGATGTGGAAGCATCCGTGCAGCTTTTCATGAAATTCAGATCAAGCTACGGGCGGCGTGCAGCTGGTGGAGAGGATTCAGGTCTAATGCAGATTTTAACATCCAGCGTTGCGGATTTTAATCCCTTCTTCTGAGTCTTCACAGTGGCTTTCGCATTTACATGTAACGCTTTTAGCTGACGCGCTTATCCGAGAGACGGGTGAGGGGTTAGGTCCCATCTTGCTCAGAGACTCATCGGCAGTGACAGCTTCACGTGAATTGAGCTGGTGAACTACAGGATACCACTAACTCCTTTTCTATATCCAACCGCAGATTATGTCTCAAATATTGAAATAAACTAAAATCCCATCTAAATCCCAGTTTCACTTTTCTGCATCAGAACCTTCAGGCAGCAGTATCACTTCCAACACCCCGAACAATGTGACTGAATATGAAAATTGATCCCTTCCTCATCGATTTGACCGAGAGAATTCCTATTTCAGGACCACGGACAGATCTCAGCTCGCTCCAAGTGTCAGCTGCTTGATGATCCGTATACTCTCAAATCAATAAATATAAGAGTAAAACAATGCATTGATTAATGATCTCGTAATTTTGCACAAGTTTGTGTTTTGATGCTGAGTGAACATAATGCATCAACATGAGGTACATTTCCTCCCATAAAGTGCATGCTCTTGTAGTTTTTTCAGAAATGTTTGTGGGGGGGAAAAAAACTCAGAAATATGAACCCTCATTACTGAGTCATTATTTCTGGGTAATGGAAGGAGGACATGGGTCTGGGACGTGTGTTATTGCTAAGGTCCTGCTCAGTGAATTTGTCATAGAGCCATCAGTTTACGCAAGGTGAAGGCATCCGCCGGAAAATCCAGTTTGGATGAAGTGAGATGCAGGGCTGAATTGAAGGCTTGTCAATTCATGTCATCATCTATATATGCTGTTATATATAGGTCACAAGCAAGTGTTGTATGTAAAGGATGCACGTAGATGTCTACATGAAAATATGCAATCAAAGGTGTATGCTGACCTGTATCTGGGAGACTTATGGGCCTGTTTGTTTTATATATGAAGTATAAGGTCCCACATGTCTGATCTGTGACTGTGTCTCATGTTTACTTTTCAGATTGTTTGTTGTTTTGTGTGTGTGTGTGTGTGTGTTTTGAAGTCATGCTGTAATAAATCAGATACTTTTATTGCTGCAGTGCTGAGAGAAGGCGTTGATGATGGGAGCGCACCCTTGACTCGTGGTTTTGAGGAGGCAGCAGTCACGCTTTACCCGGTTAATTCAGAGTATATTGTGCTGGAGAGGGGTTGCTAAGCAGCCACAGGGGACTGAGTGGGATTCAAACAGTGGGGATTTAGAGCTACCGTGAGCGTGCCACTGAGCTCTGTTTCTGTGATATGAGGTCTCACTGCTGACATTATGCATGATAATGTTTTGTGGATTATGTGACCCTATCAGTGGAGTGTAGATAGTGAAAACTATTTAGATGGTGACAATATAGATTATTTTATGAGGATTGTTGTGCTGTGTTTGTTTGATAAATGCATATAAATAGCTCTGAGTGTATCTCTGGTGCTGGACTTGTATAACAGAAGTTCATTCCCTGTCCCTTGCTTGGGGAGGATCCTCTTCCCATATGTGCTATTAACCCTGTTTCTTATTCCTCTCACTCATCCTCCCATTAGAGCCAATTTCCCAGCCTCCTGTCTTCAATTTATTTCCTGTTTGTGCGCTAGTCCCTGGTTAGATTCTATCTTTTGGAAAGGGTTGAATTTCATGCAACTTCAGCATGAATAATGTAAGACTATAACTGAGCGTGAAGTAAGAACATCTGTATGTGCTGTAACATTAAATTGACAGTTGTGGATTTTGCAAGCTCTTGCATTATAATCTGCAGTGTGTGGCATGGTAAATTCAGACATTTTGAGACCAGTCGGGTTGTGTTGCATGAGCAAAAATGCATCTGTTGAGTAAGAAATGGTTTTAAAAAGTAATTTCTAAATCTTTACAAATAACATAATTTATGATGAAATGTTCATTGATAACTTTACACATCTGGTATCCAAACATTGTTCCTGTGGTGTGTACTTTTGCAAACAAGCCAGTGAGTTTGCTGTCTTTGAAAATATTCAATGCACTGTTGTGCAGCCTTGAAAGCAACAACAAACCTCTCAGCAGAGTTATTATCCTCTTTGCACACAGTAATAGCCTGCCTTACCCTACTTCCTCTTCTCCCAGGCACTTTTCAACCACTCATATTTCCAGATGAAAGAGGCATCAATATGAACTGGCACGTCTTGAGAAACAAAATGTGCTGTTTTTTGGCCAAAATCGAAATGAAAGTAACGACTTAATTAAAAAACATTCTAAGCTCCCTTCTGTTTGAATACATTATTTGCTTCATCATATTTTTGTAAATGCACGTATCAATTGTTTCCTTCCCAACCCTAAGTTGAGAAGTTTACCCATTACAACTCCCTGATTAATAATTATCCAATAATGGTTTATTTGTTTACTGATGCAGCAATTTCAGTGACATTAAGAGTCCTCTCAAGCTTCTGGAGACAGTACAATAAGTAGACCAACAGACAAACTATAGTCTCATAACATAATTTCTTTATGTTAAGAGTAGCTACACTGCAGTCTAAATGGCAATGCAATATCATATTGATCACATCAGTACACTAACCACCATTGTGTTGAATCCTGACTGAGACATTGCAGTCTAGGGGCCAGTGGCACGGAGTGAGATGCTCTAGTTTACTGTAGGATAAAAATATCTAACATACAAATTGTAGTGACTTTAACAAATATCCATTTTAAAGCCACTGGAGGGCGAACGGGAGAACTTGTTCGGACGCGTGTTCCACAAACATTTAATGTCCACTGCGCTGTCTTTCTTTAGATCTGTTGATCCTTTTATTTAAATACATATTGACACCGTACCAGAATACAGGATACTTTACATGGACACGATACCTTGACACGACTTGTTGACACGGTCAACAACTGTTAGCTTCCCGTCCACACACACACCTGATCCTCATTACCAGGCACTTGCATATATGCACATTTAGGTTAAGGTGCCACCCACTGTTCAATGTCAAGACTGCATGTGTACACACCCCATGTTTCCCTCAAAGACATAAGAAAACAACAAAACTACATTATGGCTCCAACACAAATACACACTAGATAGACGTGCAAGCTAAAAGGGGTTTCCGTGCACTCAACAATCAATTGCATCAGAATTGAACAACTTGAACAGACTATAAATTCTAATAAGTTTACAGGGATGTGTTGTCTGCGGTAGGATACCCAGCAGTGCATTCAGACCTCACAATAATTCTCTCAAGGTATCTTTATCTGTGGATCTTTAGTCCAACAATAACTTTTTTTTAACATGGCAGATCTGTAGATAACTACTTTTTTGGTATTTTCACAGGAAGAAATAAAAACGTCTGTCAGTTCATCACCGGATCATCGTCACTACAATGTGGTTGACTATGTCCTTTCATAATTGCTCTCACTGTCCTCCGCCTCAGATGCCTGTCTGCCTGTCTGTCTCTCTGTCAGCACCATTAACAGCTGCGAGACAGTGGGGCCCCACGGTGGCCAGCTGCATGAACAATCATGCCAGAGGAGAAAGATTGTGACGTTTTGATGAGCAACATTTGTTCACTGCAAATGCACTCTCTGCGCTTTAGACTACTTTGTTGCTTGGGTTCTGGTGCCTCCATGTAAAATAGATAGCGTTGTTTAATTCCACTGGAACTAATTTTTTTTTTTTAATTTTAAATCCTCAATGTCGTCCCTTTAGATTTAGAGTTTGAGCTACGCCACATAACAAGCTGCAGTTACGCTGCACGGGCAGCAGGTGGCGCTGCATGTTGTAAACAGGTCATGGTGTTGGCTCGCTCAGATCTCCATTTTGTATGTTTTTCTTGGAGGTTAGCGCCTACTTTCCTAATGGCTAGCTGCGACTCTCCACAGCTCAGTCACTTCAACGCAGTTTGCATGACAATTAACAGCGAGATCGAACAGCAAGATTGAAAACTCGTAAGAACACACCCTGATCGACGTGTTTGTGTCGTTTCATCAAGTCATGTAGCGATACGCGAAGAGGAGGAACAGTTAACGCTAACAAACATTGAGTCAGTGGTGCGTGTTGTGGACTGCCACTTTCAACCAAAACAATGTTGACAGACGACCTGTGGACACGTACCAACAGTCGGTCATTTGAACGGTAAATGAGCTTTTATTCAGATTTGAGTTGATACGCGTTAGCTTAAGACATACAGAAACGTAGCACGTTCAACGTCAACGCTAAATATGCACTTATAGGGGCTATGTTAGCAGGCTAACGTTACTGTCAACAACATTCGGGCGAAACGTAGGTTCGCAGCCACTATAGCTCTTAGCCACATTGCTACCTAGCATGCCAACAGTTAGCAATAAGCTAACGCTACCAGAGCTTAGACTTGGGTCAATTTTAAGGCTGTCTGCGTGTGATTTGTGGTCGAACACATGCATTGTGTGCTAACTTTAAGTAGCATTAGTGTGTATAAGGTGGAACGTGCTGTCTATGCGCTCATGTTGACATGTTGCTAATGGGACCAGCTAACACTATTAGATATCGTTAGCTTTGTTAGCTATCAAGGGCGCGCAGGGGGGCATGCTTGACAACTTTCTCCAGTCTTACTTTGACCTAACGTCCGTTACTTGCTCTCTGTAAATGCACGACCTGATGCCATTTTAAATTACAATACAGTTCAGCGGTATAGTGCGCGTGTGATAATCCCATGTTACTGCATTTTAACGTGGTTGCTATGTACTGTACTTGGCCCTGTCTGTAAACGCTCTCTGTCTATTACCCCCCCCCCCCCAAAAAACAAGATGGACAATGGTGGAGTGAAGAAGATAACGTATAGAAGAGATGATCATCTGAGCAAATTGGTCTACACTGAAAGCCCTGAGAAGGGAGGTGTGTTGAAAGTGGCTCCTCACAGTGCCATGTCCATCACCTCTGTCGTTCTACCACCCAGTCTGTTGATGCAGCCAGGACAGGTGCCTAACGGCCTCAGCAACAGCCCTCTTCCAGAGGAGCTCACCTCTGTCACTGCCACCGTAGGCCCCTTGTTGGAAGACCAAGAGTCCAGGTTTCTGACCAAAGACCAGAAGCTTCAGCAGCAGCACTTGCTCCAGTCGCAGACTTCCGCTACGTTTGGTCGTCAAACTTTGAGGGAAAATTTGCCCCAGCCAGAGGCAAGTATAGCAGACATTTCACAGTCCTCCATGGATTCACTTATTGGGGGATCAGATCCCAATTTCTTCCACACGAAAACAGAGGATTTCTCCATGGATAAAGGAGAGCAGGATCCCATTGACCTTGATCATGCATTTGATCACATTGGGAAAGATGTGGACGTGAACCAGAAATTTTTCAGCGACAACACTTTGGACCTGCTCCAAGACTTCGAGCTCACTGGGTCCCCCTCAGATTTTTATGTCGGGGACGATGCCTTCCTGTCCACTCTGGGGGATGATTCAATGCTCGTGGACGTTAGCTCAGAGAGGGACATAAAGCCCGTCTTGGTTGAGAGCATCAACAGTAGCGGGACGGTCTCTGTGGCTCTCAATGGCAGCAATATGGCAATCCCAGAACAGTCCAGTGCTAGCGTGTGCACGACTGCCTCCTTAATTCCTACAACCACTTTGTCTGCGTTGGTGAAGAAAGAAAAAGATGCGGGCTTCATTCAGCTCTGCACCCAAGGTGTGATCAAACAGGAGAAGACGTCTGCAGGCCAGAATTACTGCCAAATGAGCGGCACATCCACTACAGACGTGCCCAGATCTAGCCCCATCTCCATCTGTGGGGTGAGCACTTCCGGGGGACAGAGCTACCACTTCGGAGTCAACCCCAGCAGCAGTGACGCTCAGCAGCAGAAGGAACAGAAGTCCGTATCCAGCCTGTATCTCCCGGTGACTACGATCGGCCGGGCCTGGAACAGAAACCAAGGTGTCGGGAACAACTCCGCAATGCTCCGGGCCAGTGAGGCGTTCTCAAGCTCTCCCTCTTACCCCACCAGCTTTGCAAGGTAAGAAAAGTCAGCAGAGTGTGGTCTGACCCTGACCTTTTGATTGTAGTCTTACTAGCTAACTTGAGCTAATATGTTCATGTGGTGATCCCAGTTAAGTCTTATTTTATCCTACCCTGCATCTTGCAACTTATTTGACATATGAAAGATGGCTGAATATTGCTATATTAAGAAAAGATAACCACAGCTTTCCTTGTTTCTTCCTGTATTTGGCATTGAGTGCTCTCAGTGTTTAGTGTCCATGGACAGAGGAGTGTTTAAATGCACTTTCTGAGCCACCTGCCTTTTTAAAGGAGTAGTTCACCTGAGAAATGTTGGTGTGAAGTGTCAACCCGAATAGTTTTCTGGCTCGCTGACTTTTAATTAAAACACCAGACTGAATCATATTTGTCTACGCTGCTTTATGGTTGTGTTTATAACGTGTGGTTAGTTTGGTTTCAGTGTTGTAAATGAGGTGTGATTGACAGCTCAAATAACCTGTGCAGTAAACAAAGGACCAGAGAGACATAGGGCTTCATACACCCTAAACCAATCCATTTAATATGTGCCTCTGTCCGCCTCTACTTCAGACACAGTAATAGGGCTTTAGTGATCAACACCATGATTAGTTTTGACATGCCATTGACAAAAGTATTGGTGCAGAATATTATTTTCTTGTGTTGTTTACAGTTCAACTTAGGCAGACTCTGTTATCTGGTTTCACAATGACGCGTTGGTGAATCTGGATTACAGCTCTCACAGAGGTGGTTATCAGCTGGTGGCGTTAGTCCAGGGTTTTCCACTTTTGAGTTTATACACATGAAGGAGTTGGGCCTTCTAGCAAACAGCCAGTCACATGCAGCAGCAGCAGCAGCAGATACAACACAAGGTATCTAACACATGTTGGGATTGTTCAAAAAGTAAAATATATACATTCTAATGACTAGAACACGAAAAAGTGATAGAAATAGCGGAAAATATAAAGGGCTCAGCATTTTCTCATACCAAGCCTGGATTGGTTTTGGAACAGAGTAAAGGAAAGAGCAGACATATGTAAATGTAGTGAATATAAATTAGCTACTTGTCAGTGTGAAGATTCACTTCCTTATTGTAATCAAAAGGATGATTGGTGCATTTTGTTGGAGCACTGTGGGGAAAACTTCCAATTTCTTGGATGGTGTCATCTCACTTATGCTCATAGATTTCATCAAGGGGCCTCTTTGTACACCTGAGCGGCACTGTGAGGCATATTATACAGTCATTTCAGCACAATTAATATATAACAATAGCAGCAAATTTAAGTTATTACTGGTAGAAGCATCTGCAGCCACCTGCCAAGTCCTGTTTTATAGCCACAGTGAAACAAACTTCTACTGTGTTTCAGGCTCCAGCTGATGGATGAGGAGGTGGACATTTTATACGTTTTGATATGCCGAAACAAAACAAAAAAAACTCCGTCTCCTCAGGTTTGGTTTGCTGTGTTGGTTACCATAGCAACATAGCGCTTTTTGAAATAAAGCCATTGTCCTGAGACAAAGAAATGGCAGCGTTAACCCCTGAGTTAGTTATTTAACCCACTAGTCCTGCTTCGTTTCGACGGGCTCACGCTCTCTACAGGACGTGGCTTCAGCAGCAAGCACCACAATCTGGAGAAAGGATGTGCTGTGAAAAAGCAACGGGGAATTCCACTTTTATCACGTCAGACATGTGGTCTAGTTTTCCCTTTTAAATCAGAACGATTTATTTACTATTTTTTTACTCTCTTCTGAGTCTGTTTATCAGCCTGTTGGCTCTGCCCAGCCCCTCCACAGACGCATCCACTCGATGGCGCTTCATGAGGTGGTTTTGGGCAGATCTCTTTGTATCCCTCAGTTGCGTAACGCCAAAAATACACCTGAGATGTGCACCGTCTTCACTTGAAGCAGATGTGTCCCCGAGGACACAGTGGTCAGTGTACAGTAAGAAGGGAATTCTGTAGCAGAGAAGAGTGACAAACACTGCAGGTTCCACTGACTTCCTCATGTGATTTTGTTTTGTTTAACCATTTCGTGGCTTGCTGAGCGTGGCTGCGGTGGCTCTGCGGTCAGGCGGTTGGCATCGGTTCTCCGTCTCCTCCGGCGTCTCACGCAATGGTGCTGCTACTTCCTGCTGTGGCTCCACAGTTTGCTGCTCTGCACCGTGCAGGTCAGCTGGGACCCGTAACATTACCGCACGTCTCCCAGTTCACCAGCGCTCACATTCTCCCTAACTTGGCTGTTCAGTTTTACGCTCTGACTCAGTCTGACTCACTAACAATCCGTTCTCACGTTAGGAAGAATGCTTCACCTTGAGTAATGCCCCAGGTTTTCTTATATTTTGGGGAATACACGCCCTCATAATATGATGATTGGTCATAATGAAGCGTGAGCTGATTTCATTTTTGGTTGCACACAAAGGAAATGCGTTCTTTGAATGGTGGAAAAATAAATTTGACTATAATTCCTGTGTCAGGTAATCACTCAGCCCATTTAGTAGGCTCGTGCTGTGCAGCTTCTGTTATTTCCTCCTACGCCTTCGATTGGCCCCGCCCATAGAGGGATGTAATGACTCAGCCATTAATCCTGCTCCTGACTTAAGGTTACGTTAAGTATACAGCACCCTGTAGGGTCCTGGAATTTCTTGGCTCGATTGTTTGTAGTTGAGGAAGTTGTTTGCAGGAGTGATGCGACTGGCTCACTGAATAGAGTCGCTTCAACATCTCTATGTGCATGTTGTTGGAGTATGGTTCAGGTTTTCACACAAATAAAAGGTAATTCATTCAAGCTTTCACTGAAGTCATGCATGGAGATGGATTCATACCGTAAGTTCAGTCTCTTGTCTGCTGAATATTACCTCGAGCTGAAACAATTAGTTTAGGAATCAACACAAAATGAATCAGCGACTACTTTTTATGTCATTTTTTCAAAGCAAAAATGCTAAACATTAACTAGTTTTAGCTTTTGTGAACGTGAGGTCTGCAGCTTTTCTGTATTATGTAACAGAATAATCATATATTTGGGTTTTAGACAGTTGATGGGACAAAACAAGCAATATAAAGATGTCATAAGAAGTGGTGTGATAGGCATGTTTCACTGTTTTCTCACAGTTCAACAGTTCATCGATTCTTTTAGAAAATAATGAGCAGGTGAAGTAATAATACACATGTTGGTTAGTTGCAGCCCTGATGTTAACTGACTGATAATAATGCATAGACCGAGATCAGCAGTGCCTGATATGTTGAGCAGCACATCCGGCAGTGTCTTTGCTAAAACTCCGGAGAATCTCACATGTGAGAATATTGAGTCAATTACACACGTTAATGCAGACGTTACAGGCTACCTGAGTACCACTGGCACGTCAAAGAATACGCCCAACATGTCAAACTAAAGATCTGATTGGTTGAAGACTATGACAATCAACAATAACGTCCCCATTCACTTAAACTGCAAAGGCTCTCTAGCAGGTGTCGGGCCTCTCTTACCTAGGGACATAGAGGCTGAATCTGATTGGATAAAAGCTCTCCTTAAAACAAGCTGTGCTGGAAGCACAGCAACAGAGGAAGACAGGAGCTGTGCAATGGGGAAACAAATTATAAGACAGTGTATTTGTGAAAAATTATTAATATTATTATTAATACTTTGTGATTCTGTTTAGGCCAGCAGAGAAGGCTTAGCTGGCCCTAACGGGCCACCACTGATACCACCACTCATTCTCCAAACCTGCGAGCACATTTCAGGCTCTTTAAGAGTTGCAATAGTCTTTGTAATGCCTCCTATTGATGATAATGTATGTATGAACCCTTCCCTTGTGGCTTTGTTTGACAGTTTGTAAGAACCTGTTGAATGTGTGATTTTCATGGCAGGATGAGCTCAGGAGTAGAGCTTAGTGTTTACCAGATAAACACTCTGTCTCAGAATATAGAGCCTTATCAAAGTGTCACAGTGACCAGAGTGATAGGTCAGGACTGGTGAAGTCAACAGCTGTGTGATGTATCAGCTGTGGTTTGGTGCCTGGTTTGATACATGAGAAGTTTATTTATTTATTTATTTATTTTTATATATATATATATATATATATATATATATATATATATATATATATATATATTTTATTCTTTTTTTCATTCATTCTGGGCCCTGTGTTTTGAGAGTAAGCTTTGGTCAGAGTCTCGGTACACAATGTTGATCTGGCACACCCCTCCCTTCTCTTTCTCTCTGTCTCTCAAGGGCAGGGAATTTGACTGTCAGCAGAAGCTTTCAGCTACTGTAAATCACCTTTCATGATTTTGCGGGTGTGTGTGCATGCGGGTGTGTCGTCATGGCCGCTGTGGCAGGTGGACCGCAGAGGGCTGCCGTGAAGCTCTCACTCTCCTGACCTACTTTCCCTCCTTCCTGCCCACAGCTGGTGCCGAGTTAACGCAGCAGATCAAATGCCAACCATTCCAGTCACTTTGGCGTTATTCCCGCATTCTCCTACAACCAGTTTTCTCCATTTATTTTGTGTTGTGTTTTGACACTGTTTGGGCTTATAGAGAGTCCCTACATTGAGGTTAAGAGGATGCAGCTAAGCCCGTCAGTTGTTCGTGCCCTTCGTCTTACTTTTGTGTTGCAGTTGTCGAGTCAGCAAAAGCCGAACTTTGGGAGTGGGTTCCTCCCCACACTAAAGGTGTCATGGTTATGCAAACGGTAGCAGCAGCAGCAGCATGCCTCCAATTCATTTTTACGAGCTCGGAAGCCGCCTCCCACCTACACATACAGTCACCTACAGCGCCAATTATGGAGGCTAATATGGAAACTCAAATACTCGGGGGTTGTTTTTCTCGTGCTCGGCCAGATTGATGTTGATGCTTGAAGCCAAACCCGTCTTTGCTGCAGAATGTAGCTGTTATTGAAGGGGGAGACGGTGGCTCCGAGGGAGTGTCGCATGTGAGAATATCTCCCTAATGGCTCGCTTCATGGACCAAAGCGATGGCCACAAAAAACACTTGATGACCTTTCTGTGGCCGCAATGTTCACTGACTATGTTGTCAAATACTCCTAGAGACATGCCGTCTGTTTTTATCGGAGGCAGATACTTCAGAGAAGTCCGGTCTTTTACCAAACAAACGCTGTCCCTCCACTCCTTCATAGGAGCTGCGTTGTTGCTCTGCACGCGAGAGTGATTCAGAGCGTGCAGACCAGTCCCCGTTCTATTTTGGGGGCCCTCACCTCGGGGGAAGGAGCACTTCCTTCTGCTCTCTTCATGCTCACGGAGTTTTGATGAAGATGAGATGTTTGTGCAACGTTCAACCATATCCGTGGCAGTGATAACCTTCACAGTAGCTCACAAATAAGGTTTTTAAGCTTGCCGCCACCCAGCTAGGAATCCAGTAAATGCACAAACACAACATTATCTACCTCACTTAAAAGGAAATAGCTGGGCATTGCAATGATGTGGCGCTGATGGCTTCTCGTCTGAACAGACAGAGAGACGGGTATATAGAGCAGGAGCCTGCCACGCTACTCGTGACACTCAAGGCTAAAAGGAGATTATGAATAGTTAAGCAGGGCACTGGGCCACCGGCATTAATCTAAGTGCGTGAAGTGGCTTGCCTCGTTTAAACCCGGGCTGATTGATCGCACTCCCACAGACGTAAGTGGTTAACTTTCTCGGCACTGCGCTCGTTGAAGTCAGGGACCGTCTCCGGGTGTCTCTGCCTTTTTTGAGCTGTGACTGGGCTCTGGCCGATAGTAAACTCTGAGGGAATGCGAGAACTTCCTGTCGATGGCATGCACTCACTTCAACAGATGGTTTCAGAAAGAGGAAATTTGGTCTCCGCACACTGCTGTGCAGCTTTGGTTGGTTAATGTCTGACGAGCCTCAACAATCTGATTTGTAACTTGTTTCATGGCTTAGTTGGACGTCGTCTGATTCCAAATTGAGTTTAAAGAAAACACTGAAAATCAGTGACATCACTTGAAGCTTGCTGTCGGTGTTGTAAATGTATAGATGCTGCAGTAATTGGATTTGAACCAGTAGCCTACAGCCCTCTGGTAAAGCTGTCCTGATGTCTCCATCCCAGTGGGCCAATGACGGATAAACTGTACCGTTTCCCCCTTCACACCCTCTGACATCATCGTCATTAGCCTCCTCCACCCACGCTAACAGCCAGTTAGAGCGTGCGTGCGTGCGTGCTCGCTCGCTCGCTCGCTCTCATAGAAGTCTGTTAAGGAAACCCCACATGAAGCTGTGTGTGAAACAGATGGCATGCTGGTTACATCATTGCAGTGGCACAGCTTTGGTTGAATTGTATACATGGTGTGACCCTTCACCAGGCAGTAGTTTCTAGACCAGGGGTCCCCAACTGGCGGACCGCGGTCCGGATCCGGACCCAGACGAAGTTGCATCCGGACCCAGGACCTAAAATCGATAGTTCGGAATCATACATATTAGGCAGCGAGTTTGTACTTTAACCGGCGCATCTTATTCAGCCGTTACGGCACTTGTTCAGCGGTGCAGGACACACCGACCAATGCGTTGTAAATCATATCACTTGATACAGCTCAGCCAATCAAATATGAGTATTCTGACAAGTTTCCTGACTCGAGCGAGGTTTACACACACCGTGACACACGGGGGAGAGACGAGGAAATAGAAAGAAGAGCAGGGGAATTGTGTTGATCAGAGAAGTTATCTCACGTTCTCCAAAAAGAGAAACGTGTTCAGAGAGAATAGAATTTATAAGCAAGAATGAACAGAATCTTATGTTAATTCTTCCCACAGGCAGTTAAAACCAGCATGTCGCATATGTCCAGAACCCGTAACTATTGATAAAAGCGGCAAATGAAGCGCACTACGAGGCAAAGCACAACTCTTTTGAACAAACGTACACATTCACATCTGAAATGAAGACACAGAAAATAAACCTAAGAGCCCAATATGATCAGAATCCTGACACATGAATTCACTGTCCTCTATGATGATAGAGCTGAAACAAGTGGTTTAATAACCACACATAAAGTCCATGCTCACTGAGTTATCTTGTTAGAAGATGAGAAAAATATAATATCGTGGTTTTTTTGATTGACATCACTTCACACCTGAATGAACTGAATTTAAAGCTGCAGGACAATTCAGTGAAATTAATTTTTCTAAAATGAATTACTTTATTTTAAGATGCACATTTTTCAAAAGCTTTCTGTTGAATCAGTTATTCTTTAATGCAGCCCTTAGTTTACTTGAAATGAGAAGAACATTTATTTATGTATTTCTATGTATTATTTATAATCCATCCAGTTAAATTTGAAAACTGAGAATAATAATTTGTTAAAATATAATTGATGTGTACTTTCTTTATTTGATTTGAAAGTTGTTGACTACACAGATACATTGTAACTACTACTGGGCTTCGTGTGTGTGTGTGTGTGTGTGTGTGTGTGTGTGTGTGTGTGTGTGTGTGTGCCTGTAA